GCAGGAATAAATCACTCTCCTTCGTACAGGTACAAAGCTTGCTCTTCCACAGACCTCTGGAATAAAGTCAATGTTTACAATTTAAAGGGTTATTTGGTTGGGATGCTGTTGGCACATAAAGTAAGGGTAAATAGTTTGAAGTTTCAGTAGAGCTGGGCAGAATGTGTTTTTTTAAATAAATAAAACATTTAAAAAAATGAGAAACCAAAATAATCCTTGAGGGCAAGTAACTTGTCTCTTTAAACTTGCTGATACTTAATTGGTCCAGTATAGTTTGTGTTCTTAGTCTTTTTAGCCTTGAAGACAGGGGAGGGAAGATAAGAAGTCTAATAGTTGGGACACCTAATTTTATCTATCTGTCCACCTACCTACGTACACATGTATATATATATGCACATACTCAAACAGTCCTCACAACAACTCTGCAAGGGAACCAGCTCCGTTTTGCAGAGGAACTGAGGTGTAGAGAGGTTGAAAAACCTGTAGGGTCACACAGTAAGCTCAAAGTCAGGGCTGTTTGACTCCACAGCTTTCCATCATCGTGATGTTGGTATCGGACACATCCCAGAACCTAGAGAAGAGACGTTTTCTTTGATAGTTCTTTGTTCCCTGTTACACACCCAGTGATTCATCATTAGTTTGCAGCTGATCCTAAATGCTCTCAGAGCTCTCTGGGAAGCTGGGAGAAAATATCCCAGTATCTTTTGGGAGCTAGTTAGAACCCCCCTGCCCCACCCTTTGAAACAGGCTTGACAATTTTGACGACGACAGGCTACAGGTCAAATCTCCTGAATTCCCATCTTCTGCCAAGACACCCCCACTGCCATCACTAGATTTATATTTCCATTTCTCAATGACCCAAATGCATTCTTAATTTTTCTGCCAACTAGGACTTACTAATGGATACATATCCTTACCAAGGTTTACTATCATCTCTGGCTATATTATAGTGGCGGAGCAAAGTGGGTAATGGGAAAATCAAGTTTGATTCCTAGGTTTTCGGCTTGAGCAAGAGTGGATAGGTAGACTAGAGATGGAGTGCTGAGACTGGAGCAGGGAGAGTATTTCGGGCAAAAGAGAGCATGTCAGAAGGCCTGCAGTGGAAAGAGTGTGGCATTTTCAAGGCAGTAATAAATGAGCTCTTTGGAGAATGCCTCACCTTAGGAAATAGTATGTGGGTAACTGAGGATTTGATAACAAATTTCAAAGGAAGCCCATAGGGTGTTGTCTCAGAAACGATGGAATTTCTCACATCCAAATATGTAACCTCTTATGTCCTTTCATTCATTCAGTAATACAGATGGCAGGCAATATGATATTTAGTGGTAGCTGGTGGATACAGTTAACCTAATCAAATGCATTAATCAATCCATTGAGTAAAGAAGACAGATGAGTCAAAGCAATGACTTTGGAATGAGATATATGTTTGAACTTTACTAGCTATATGACTTTGGACATTTTACTTAGCCTTTCTAGTTTTCTTGTGTATACAATGTGGTGGTTAATAGCATGAAAATTAAATGAGATAATGTAAAAGTTACTGGTCATACACTAAATGCCCAGAAGTTTTTAATGTAAATACTAATATAAAAAACGCTACAACAGAGGAGAGATGCTTAGCATAAAATCTAAAAAAGAGGAAATCAACGAGCAAGCGTTTACCAGTGCAGGACTAGCATTGTTAGGAGGGTCACCGTGACCTAGGAGAACTTAAAATATGACTAGAGAAATCACTAGGCATTTGTGGTCTGTGTGGTAGGAACTGCCTCCTGATAGGCACTTCCTGCTGGAGTCAGCAAACTTGACACGCCTCTAACATTCGTTATCACGCGGCATCAAGTCTTAACACTCCCTTCAAAATATGAGTGCATGAAGGAACCAATGTTAAATCCAAGACTTAAGAATGGTTTCAAATAGATGGTGCTCTGTACAAATCAACAAGAAAATATTGATTTTGGAATTATTTTGCTGCCTCATCCCACTCTAAGAAAATGGTTACCGTTTTATATTTGTATTTCATCCATGTTAATAAATTTACAACTTGGACGTAATTACGAGCGTCTTTCCCGCAGTTGCTTATGTCCCGCAGACAGCATTTCCCCCGTCTTCCTCCACTGTCTCTCCGGAGTGTGGTTAGCCTCCAGGCTCTGGTTTGAACGGGCCAGCGCTGAAATCCTGCCTCTAGGTTGCTCACTAGCTGTGCAGCTTCTGGCGTGTAAGATAGTAAAAAGTATAAACTTTGTGGGATTGTTGTGAGGGTTAA